ATTTTTCCCTTCTGGAAGTTTAACAATCTCATAAGTTTGATTTTTCTGCGGAGAATTTAACTCTTCCTGCATCGCAATCATCCATTTTTCTTTATCCTTATGAGATATGGCTTCTTGAAAACTCTCTGGTTCTCCATCTTCTGTCAATAGAAGGTATTTAGATGATGAGTACCTTTTTGATGGTATATGACCTCGTTCAGATCTACGAGTGGGTAGAACCATCAGAAGAACTTCCAACATTGGTGTCTGACAAAATGGGTTGTGGCTCCCCTTGCTCTGGCAATATGGATTGTTGTCCCCTTGCTCTGCACTATCTTCTGTCTCCTCCTCTTATTCTGGTACATCATCTTCATTGTTTCTCCAGAACAGTTCTGGTGCTTCATCTGAAACTTGAGCACCCATATTTGACGTTTGAGACATCTTGTGCTTTTCAATATCTTCTATTGTCAAATTTTCTTGGAACACCTTCAACGATCTACTTGGAACAAATCGGAGTTGAATTTTAAAAAATAGACAGTACCGTTGCGCCCGGAAAAGTCGCGAATGGGGTTTTTTTCGGTGATGACGTGGCAGTTGACTGGTCCCGATCTGCTGACGTGGCAGGTGACTGGACTGCTGCTGTGACAGGTGACTGGGCTGTTGACATGGCAGATGACTGGGCTTCCTTTGCTGACGTGGCAATGACCTGTCAGATAATGTGGCTACACGTCATCATCTTCTTCACCAGATTTTTTTTTTTCAGGACTTTAGAAGGCTTTTCGGGACAGCTCGGATGTCCGTTTTTCGCTCGTAAAATACCACCACGACCGTGTTGACGAGATGAATCTAATGGTGTTCTCGGAATTGAATTTTGAGCATAACTCAGAAACTCGAAATTTCTACAGAATCTCGAAAAAATTCAAAATTAAGCTCGAAGGCTTCAAACCAAGCTCTGATACTACTTGTTGTGGTATTATTTCATGATCATAAACATAATTGAGAAAAAACAAGTTTCAATTACTCACAAGAATAAAAACAAGAGATTTACAAATTCTAAAAGAAAAACTCTCAAGCTCTCCACAACTCTACTTGGTTGTGTTTCAACACTCTCAAGGTTGATTGATCACACTCTTAGATGATTCAAATGAATGAAATATGCAACCTATTTATATATACAATCAAGCACACCATTGTTGAAAATAGTGTGAAGAGAAGGTTTGGTGGAGACATCCAGACTTCTTCAATTTTGTTTTTGTATGGTATGCTTGTTCTTCGTTGGTGGGCTTATATGTTGCATGGAACTTTCATTTGTTGGCATTTCATTTCTGAGAATAGATGTTGCATTTTGTAGGTGAAATACAACAAAAAAATATATATTCAAATAGTTAGGGGCAATTGGATATGTTAAACACATTTTCTTTTTATTTATTTAATTATTTGAACCTTTAGTATTTTTTTATTTTTTATTTTCCTTCTATGTGATACATCATTGGACTTGGAGAACAAGAGAATAATAAAAATGCTCCCACCTTTTCCCAAAGACTAGTACAGAGCCCGTGCGATGCACGAGGTGCACAATTTTAAGGCCATTTATCCATTCTTATAATTATATAAATGAATAAAAAAAAAATGTACGGGATATATATAGTACTTGACCTGTAATAGGCCAAAATGTGAACACGGGTGATGCACGGGGTGCACAATTTTAAGGTCATTTATTAGTGTATACCCCGTGGGATGCACGTGATACATATAATAAATCAATTATTTTTATAGGACTTGTACGTCTAGACAAAAAAACAATAGGCTCGGATTATCCATATTTCACAACTTTTAATAAGTGGCGTTTATTTAAGCTAAAAAATTAACATGTTAATTAATATATAATTCCGCTAACACGTCATACTAATATTTATTTGATTTTAGAATACATATTTATTCATTGATATAGGGAAAAATAAAAATTTCATTAATTATTGTTTACCATATAATACTTAATTATTATTTTATTATAAAATTTACAGTCATATAATGTAATTATTATTATTTATAAAAGTTATAGAAGTAGTCTTCTTTATGTAATGAAATTCAAAATAAAATTTTGAGTATAAATGTTTACAAAATACGCACACATGTTTTTTAGAATTCAATTTTCTCATAATAATTTTTTTTTAAATGATTTAACAATTGCCAAAAAATAAATCCCTTACATACTCAAGAGATTTTTTTTTTTAATTTTCATCCTAAGACTTTATAGTTTATTTAACATACTATGCAATAGAAAAATATTTTACAATAAGTTCATTTTTGAAACATAACAAAAAAAAAAAAAGTGATAAAACACTATCATAGTTGACAATAATATACAAATAAATAACATGTCGAAATTTTAAAGAATAACTATAATTTTATTATCTAAACATCAATAAAATCATTTAATGATGTGATCATTATCTTTTAAATAATAAATAATATTAATTTTTCTAAAAAATATTAGTGTTATATAATTAAATAAAGGTTAAAAAATATTACTCGACAAATATTAATTATAATGGATATCAGTAAAATCATTGTATAAATTATTTAAGGAAAAAATCTTAAAGATCATATGTGGATAGTAAATGTAAATATGCAAGCATTTAATGAATATAGTAAAAAATTTTTAATTAAAGTATGCATTAAATGCGTGTTGACTTTTCTTGCTACTGTTTTTGGTAAATAGGTTAACTTTTAATATACATATATAGATTACGTGCTGAAAAATAATTCACAATCATGTGTTTTATTTTCTATTGAAGATCTGTATGTTGACCCATTCAATAAGCCATCGTAATCTCTAACTAATTTAGATATCAGATTTATATTTTTTTGAGATTTTTTTTAACAACAAAGAAATCTGATTAATATTTTCTTTATGAAAATAGTTTGGAAGATTCCCAAATGCACGGATTTAAAAATCAAACACCAAAAAATGTGTTGACTTTTCAACTGCATTTAAAAGCATTAAGTAATGATTAGATTTGAAATAAATAAATATAAATTATAATATTCAAATGATAAAAATAGAAAAATATTAATTGCTTTGACTATTCTACATACTAAATTTAGTAAATGGTATAGCCTTTAATATAAGTATAGATAAGACTGAGGACCGTGAAATAATTATAAGAATCCAGCCTTAATAAAGCTCAAGAAAGAACAAAAAAATAAAAATAAAAAAATCAGACAAACTAATTATGGCAGTCCCACATACACACTTCATTTATTTATTTTAAGAGTTTTACAAGAAAAATAGGTAAACTATCAAATTAAGGTTTGGAAGATTTTTTTTTCTCAAATCGAGATTTAAATATTATAAAATTATCAAATTAAGTTTTAAAATTAAAAAAACTCATAACACTATTAAATTGAGAGTTTAAAAAAAGAAACAAAGAAAAAGACATGATTGGTGCGTACTTCATTAATCTTTTCCAACAATATCATATTTTTCTTATTTTTCTTCATTTTCTTTTCTTTTTTCTTTTTTATTTTGTAAGAGATTTGATGTTTTAAAACTTCTAATTAACTCTCAATTTAATAGTGTTATGGATTTTGTTACTGGTAGGATTTAATTTGATAGTTTTATAACATTTAGGTTCTAAATTTAGAAAAAAAAAATCTTTTAGGTCCGATCTGATAGTTTACTTATTTTTCAGGCCTTGTACTGAAAAACTTTTTTTATTTTAAGTATATATATATAACCCAACTAATAAATTATGAAAATAAACATCTAATGTTTTGTTTTTATTTCCTTTACTTAATTTGGTATGAAATTTTATAACTTGAAATGATTAAAAGCCCTGTGAATGAGTGGCCACCTTATTCGTAAATGGTACTCATGCTTCACCACCTTAATTTGATGGATTTTGTTCGTTTATTAGATTAATATGAATTAGATTAATTGACCATTAACGAGTTAAGCTCGAGCTTTAATGAGTCATTCCATAGAAAATTATATAATTTTTTTTTAGTCTTATCGAGCAGAACCCAACTTGTTAACTAAATTAAACGTTTTTTAATTATAAATAAGCTCGAGCAACTCATTTCGTTTTACAACCTCCAATCATAATGGTATATACTAATAGAAAGAGAAAAAAAAAAAGAAACAGTACACAGATTATAGCCTCTTACAGATTAGATTAATGATTTTATACGTAGTTAATAATGGTATATTATAATTTTATTAATATGATATGATTTATTTGTTGTATATAAAAGGTTGGCTTCATAGCAAAACCGTGCAATATATATACTATATAAAAGAATTAAACTTTTCTTTCTTTTTAATTATTGTAATAGAACACTCATATGTCCCCCAACACAATACGACACTCCTCCTCAAAATCACAATAAGTAATTATGATTTTACTGATTATTGTGTAAACAAAACTTGAATAACACACTTAAAACTAAATAATGTGACAACTATAATTATGCAGAATAAACAATTATACCATGTAATGCTGAGTATATTAACACAAAAAGTGGGGCTTATTATTATTATTATTACTGTCTCCCCATAATGCCAAATAAAAAAATAGAAAAGAAAAAAAAAAAACTCCATCTTTTTTTCCTGAGTTGGAAAATAAGGAAAAAAAAAATAAAGCCACAAAAGATGGGGATTTTTTTTATGGTATTTTTTTATTTTTTATTTTTACATTAAAGAAAAAAGGACTTTCTTTTTTGGAAGATGCTACCGTCTCATTACGGAACCATTCCGTCAGGGTTTGTAACTGTTAGATCAACTATCTCAGACGATTACGTGATGATCTAACGGATACCAATCTCCACGAAATAATTCCGAACCTTAGCATTTCCCTTCTTTTTTACATAATATATATATTTTTCTTATAATGAAAAGACATTAAAGGGAAATAAAAAGAAAGGTTTGAAGCATGATTCAAATATTTCTCACGTCCTTTCAATCAATCTTTTTTCCTGGGATCATCTTTTTTCCATCAACCAGTGCATGTCAGCCTTTCTCATATACCTGCAGAAATAATATATCCAATTTAAAATGCATTATAACAAAAATAAAATAAAATAATAATAATACATATTCTTTTTGTGACAATAATACATATTTAAGCTATGAAATGTATTACTTTTATTTAAAAAAATATATTTAATTTAGCAAGTAAATATTAATCAGAATTTGAGGCTTAAATTGAAAAAAAAAAAGTAACGACCAAACCTTGAGTTCTTTTACAGTGCATCACGGCCTCGTAAATGGAGCTCTCCGAATCACAAGACCTCCGCCAATCATCGTCCGCCGACGACCATGCCAGGCTGGCCCTCGGCGACGCCTCGGCCGCCCCGTACATCTCCCACCTCATCCTCACGTCACATCCGCTCCGGTCATCTTCCTCCGACCGAAAATCCCGTCCGCACCCAAAAAAAACCCGCTTCACCAGACACCGGAAGCACCTCTCTAGAAACCGCGCCGACAGCCTCCGGCACCTCCCCAAGACCCCGGCCCTCTTTTCCGACCAGATCTTGACAGAATTATTATTGTTATTATTATTATTATCATCAACACCACCAAAATTATTTTTATCACCACAATATTCCGCGCTGCCGTTTTTCTTGGGAACGAGTGGGACGAGGAAGCCGTTGGAGATGAGCTGGTCGGCCGGGACGAGTGCGATGGGGGAGCCGGAGATGGGAAAGTCGAAGCACAAGTCCGGTGGGGCAGCGGCTTGGGAGAAGCGCTTGGAAGGAGGCAGTCGAGGGTCCATCTCGATAAATTTGGAGGCCGCCTCCGTGTTCTCGTCATCGTCGGGAATAATGTGGCCGGAGGAGGGGCTGAATCCGGCGAGCCATCCGTAGGAGAAGCTGTCGTTGGGCGGCGCGGCGGCCATGTGAGGTGTTTGGTGGCTCATGTATGAGAGAATTAAAATGAGTGGAGGAATATAGCATGTGTTTGTTCTTTTTAACCTTGTTTATATTAGGGTTGAAGACTCTTGGTGATAACTCGTGATATGAAAAACTTGAGATTTAGTCTTGTAACTAATACCTATTTGATAAATGAGTAATGTTACAAGTACATAATAGTGTACATAAAGGTGTACATAACACTCACATTGAGTGGGACCCACTAAAAATACAAAATGGACAATGCTACTTGTACCAAGTGGTTTACCACTTGGTTTACACATCCCTTGTACAAGTACCACTATACCCTTAACGCATAATTTATTAAATTGTGCATTAAGGGTACATTGGTACTTGTACAACAAGTAACATTATTCATACGAAATTAAGTGGACCCTACTCCATGTGAGTGTTATGTACACCTTTATGTACATTTATTATGTACATGTAGCATTTTCCTTGTTAAATAATTTGGTGAAACTTTGCCAAACTATAATTGCCAAAAAAAAAAAAAAAGACTATTGGTCCTTGTACCTGCTAGTGGCGTAGTCAGGAAAAAATTTCACATTGGGCTAATCCGAATACAATTGTATTATTTCAAATGTGGGATGAAAATTATTTGTGTTATTTGTTGTTGTTGTTGTCTTTTCATCTTGATTGATTTCTTTTGTTTGGTTAGTTGTACTTTAGACATTGGACTTGTAGACTTGTGACTATTTAGCTCATTTAAAACCTTTTTATATACAGATTAGGAGGTCGGGCCTTAACCCCCACCCTTCGGGGTGTTGTTTGTAAAAAAACAAAATATGAGATGACAAATAGATAGACCATACTTTTAAAATTAAAAAATATATTTTAATATAAAATATCATATTTTACTATTTTTTATATTCAAATGCAACTACAAAAATATATAAATTTATTGAAAATAATGTAATATGCATTATTAATTAGGCCTTCAACCTAGCCCAGACTTGTATATATTAAGTATCCAAACAAAATTATAATTACAATAAATATTAATCTCATGAGTACTTGAGAATTTATAGTATATTTTAATTATGAATGATTATCATATTTTCATCAATAATATACAAGTTCTTTAAAATAAAATGTCTAACAAGTTATGTTAGTTGATAAACAATGAGTTCGTATAAAAATACTAAATCTAGTGCTACTAGTAAACAAAAATGATATTACCTTAATTTTTGTTAGAAATTCGTTTTCAAATAATTAGTCATCACCAAATATATATATTAAGCTTAACTTAAAATATACATACACATACAAAATAAAATAAATTTCACATAGGTTGAATTAATTTAACAAAAAAATATTTTTTTTTCTTAAACATAATATATATACTAATTAACATAGGGAAAAAATTGGTCAAGCCCTAACTGGCTACGCCCATGGTACCTGCTGAAGTCGATCTCTGTGACCGGTTGCTGACATGATTTTTTTTTTTTTTTT